CGATTACACAGGGCTGAGAACTGGAGTTTTACATTTCTCCAATTAGACACGTTGGAGACTTGGGGAATGTGACTGCTGGAGCCGACAATATAGCCAAGATTGACATCAAAGACACTTTTATCAAGCTCTCAGGGCCCAACTCCATTATTGGCAGAACTATGGTGGTAAGTCATTTTCATCTATTTTTCACATTGATGCCTAGATTTTTATTTTTTTCCTTAAGTCACAGACTCTGTAAATCTGCTTATTCTGTTAGATCCATGAGAAGGCTGATGATCTTGGAAAAGGAGGAAATGAAGAAAGCCTTAAGACGGGTAACGCTGGCGGGCGCCTGGCCTGTGGAGTCATTGGTATCGCCCAGTAAACCGAGTTCTCAAAATGAAGCACTGAAAATTTCTCCAAGACACTTAATGAGACCAAGATAGCTTCTAGACGTAACCTTGTTCTTTTCAGAACTGTGTGGGCTTTTGATTTGTTTGATAGTTTGGCCCAGAAGAATTGATAACGCACAAGTCATTTATAAATGTATACTATTGAAAAATAAATATTTCTTCAGATTCATGTTTGCAATCGTCATGTTTTTCAGTATTCAGACTTCATGATTGAAGAAGTGATGTACTTGAGTCAATTCTGTCACGTACAACTTGTTTCATTCATTGTTTTCTTTCCCCTGAGGTCCTTAGTGAGATTCTGACAATTTAGCAACCCCCATGTGTTAAACTTGATTGTCCTCTAGAGGGCGTTGTTGAACCGAATTGAAACAACAGGCATCACTAATCTGATATTCAATATCCATTGAGTACATAGTCTTTTGATTTCCTTAATTATTTGTGATTAAATAAATGGATTAAAATTACATCCCAGCAGAGCATTTGCTAGCAGATGTTTTTTTTTTGTTTTGTTTTGTTTTGTAGCATTATATTGTGACAGACCAACTTGTTATACTAAAAAAATATCAGTCGCACATTTGATTTCATGCCAATCTTAGGCCATGGTGCCTTTTTGTGACGCATTGTAAAGTTCGAAAGTTCAGATTTATTTTTAAAATTCATCCTGTAAATTGAGCAGCTGAGTCCCATTTTGACCAAATATGTTAGAAGGCATGCAAACTTTATACCCATCACTTTTTTTTCCAGATAGCTGGTGGATGACATCTGAAATCATCATTGCTGAATGCTTCTTATTTTATGCATGAATGGAGGCTGCTTGTACTAAATTGATATAGGTCTGTGATAAGTTTTAGGTTTTTCAGAAGAAAAACTGGGGGCACCAAAACCATATTATATTGATATACAATATATCCTATTTTTAAATTCAAACAGTACCTAGATCAGTTCATAAACAAAATATCCACAGCACTTCTAATCTTAAAGAATGGAAACTTTCGATAATGGTTACAAAATGTTGCTTTTAGTGGAACATAATGCTTGTCACTGAATAAAGAATTGTATTAGTGTGGCGTACCTGCAGTGATGGAGTCCTTAGTCAGGGATTTAAAACCAGGTCAAAACTAAGGGAAAACGTGTGTGTGTGTGTGTGTGTGTGTGTGTGTGTGTGTGTGTGTGTGTGTGTGTTGACTGGTGCAGCCAGTGAAGGAAAAAGATGGGCCGACTGCAAAAGCAGGTAAAAATAGCCTGGAAGTGAAGGTGATGAATAATAGAGATTGTAAGTGCGGCTGACAGTGAGGTAAAGGAAGCGTGACAGCAGTCAAACAAAACCTAGTATAGAGGTGAGTTATAACAAATGTGCAAAGAAGAATATGAGTAATGGATGGGAATTCCAGCTCTCCATTGGTGGAAGAGTTTTGTCAAGTCTTAAATCTTCCAGATTTTGTTGAATATTTTATTTTTAAAATTCACATTTTAACTTTGGTATTCTATATATGCATTTTGTGAAAAAAAAAAAAAAATAATTAGCTGTCTTCCTCATAGCTTAAATGAAAGGCGGTCCTTCGAAATCTGAAAATCCTGAAGTTACCAATGTCTTAAAGCAAAATGTGTCAAGGAAGTAGATGGGAATGTTTGGTTCATTGCTACTGAGTTTTTAACTTGCCACTTTGCAAACATTGGCCATCTCATTTAAATCCAGCTGAAACAGTTTTTATACAACTGCACAGAAATAAAAACTATGTTCCATACAAAAGTCCACATTTCATTTCAAAGTGAAGGTGTTGATCTGTTGTTACATAAACATAACTCAGAGTTCAGCGTCATTGCTACATGTTACATCAGCAGATGACGATGTGTCTTACCAGCATGCGTGTATTGTTTTTGTGTACTTAGGTGGGGAAATGTCACAGGTTTATTTTTATATTCATAAGCATGCAACTTTGGGCTTCCAGTGCTGGGAAGAACCAGTGTGGTCACATTTCTGGAGACAACTTCATATTCATCACACTCAGCTCTTCAGCTCTTTAAACATTTTAGGACATTCTTCTCTTGAAAGACAAGCAGTGTTCTGAAATGAAGAACCACTATGCTTCTTTAAAGTATAGGTTAACCTGACATTTTACAATAAAGTTCAATGTGCTCTTTAAACATACATTTTTCCTTGCTTACTCTTTGTATTTCACAGAACATCACAATAAAGTACATAAAAATGTGCATTTAAAATGTGTGTGGAAAAATCTTTTCCTGTTTTTTTTTTTTTTTTTTGCTGAGATGAAAGTTCACCTTCTTGTACACTGTCTACCTGTTTCTCTGTGGGAACACTGCAGAGAAAAGGATCCGCAGGTCAGAGGTGAGATGCCATAAATGGTACACATGCTATGGGACATAGTTGGTTGGTAGACTGACTAATTTGAAGGCTCCCTTTGACCTCACCTTTGACCTCCTTAGCTGTGTCACATGAGAGGAGTCAAAGAGGAGTTTGTGAACACAAAGTGCTTTTAATTTTGACAGATTGTGTCTTTTCTCATGTTCATTTTAGGGTATCTTTAACTTTTAGTTATGAGCAAACTAAACAGCTTAACCACAGTATATAATGGTGAAATGAAAGGAATTTGATACAAGGTTTTTTTATTTTATTTTTTTATACGTACATTGAATCTGAGGTGATGAGGAGTAGAGATACATCTATTAATTTTAGAGAAGGAGGAACTGTGGAAATGGAGTTGTACAGACTAGGGGGGAAGTAGAACTTGACTTCTTCTACTTCCTTGTTCTAGTCCCTTCCAGGGAGTGTAAGATGTGAAGTAATCTTGTTTCTGAACTCTTTGAAAAGGTAGATTTCTGAATTCATAATTACTATGTGTTAAACCATTTTAAATGAACCAAAACAAAATGTATTGAGGAAAAATGCCAATATTTATTCTGAGTGGTTGTTGTTTATTGAGAGAACAAGGAAGTTTTTTTTTATTTTTTATTTATCCAAGTAAGGAATGGATCTGGGCTTGTGGACTTTGGGAAGTATGTGAGTTACGTTCTGATCTTTTGTAGTACTGAAGTCAGATAATGATTCCAAATGAGTGCTGATAAGATATTATCTTACTGTTTGATGATCAAGCCAACAAGATCGTGAGACAATAATGGGTGGAACTTCATCACTTTCATATTGCACTCCTTTTTTTTTTTCTTTTTAGAAATGTGGAAAGAAAAGCAAATCATCAAAAACAAAAAGAATACTAGAATTTAACAAACATCTAAACAACAACAATGAAAGTTGGAAATTATATTTGGAATTCAAAGAAAAGGAAAATCATGTATAACCCAGAGGTATTCGCAGTGAAGTGTTGAAGCAGCTGGGAGGGATAGGAAGTAGGTCCTTTGAATCTGAGTCCATGGTCCTTGACTGGACAAAAGTGGACTTATTCCTCTGAGCAGAGAGTCTATCTCTTTTTTAAGCAGAAGAGTTTGTCAAGGTGTCTGTTTTGTTTATGGGATGGAATGGGAGAGAGACAGATGGATTAGGACTTCACAATGACCTTTTAAAGCTTATGATTGTCATGCAACTATTCATTTATTTCTACTTTTAATACATGCGTACTATCTCTACATTCATTGGACTGATTACAGTTGAAATGCTTACTGGCAGTGAAGATCCTTCAGATACAGACACACTAAAAAAGTTGGCGTGTTTCCTTTTAAACACTTTCATATGTGTGTGTAAAATGTCCTGCACACGTGTTAAGTGTTCGAAGGTTCACAGACAAATAAAAGCATCCAACGCCATTTGCTAAAGCAAGTTGAATGATTTAACAAATAAAAGAAAAGAAGAACCATGAGAAAGAGGAAAGAATCTCTCCTCAAACTAATATTTTTAAAAGTAAGAACTTCAGAGTCCAGATTCACTGAAAAATTTTTACTTCTACATTGTCACAAACCAGGCATGTTAAAAAGATGTATAAGCATATGGACCCCTATGATTTCATGTATTGATACTTGCGGATGAAAAATCGATACCTTTCTGAGGAGGGGAAAAAAATAGTAGAATCAATATAATTATACAGCCCTATAGATTTGTATCTTTGTTTCTGTTTGTGTGTCTTGATTTGTTTGGGTGCCTTTGTCCAAATAGTTGTTTTTCATAACTTCCAATCTTCCGCTATTAAATCACAGAGACTCAAACTACTTATTCTCTGTTGTTAATTTGAAAGCTAGCTTGAAGGCTTCTTTTACTGGCTAAAAAATCTGTTTATAAGTTAAATTAGTTTGCCTTCAACTTATTACATAAATTACAGTTATGAGAATAACTACAGAGTTAACTTTTAAGTTTATAAGTAACCACTTGCATGGTGATTTCATTTATTGCCAAACACAGTAATTCACATAATTGTAAATATTTTTATACAAGGTGTACAAATTTTTTACAATAATTTTTATGTATTTGTTTCAATTAAAACCTTTACTTGCTATGAATACAAATTTTAACAATTTATTTGTTTTATTTATATTTGTTTTGGCCCATTTGGCCCTCGACACACATAATTGTTGGCTGACTCTATTTGTGGGATTTTCAATTAATGCAGCTCTTTGAAAATGTTGAGATTTTATCCCTGCCTCTAACCTAACACTCAATCTAAAGAAAGCCAGATGTGGTTTACTATGCTGAGTCTGTTTTATTACCGCATGCATAATTGCTACCACATTTTAGGTAAAATTGTTTTGCTCGATGTGATGCTAATTTTGTAAAGAACTTTTAAGAAAAGATTACTGCAAAGATTATTTCAAAATGTTACATTTTAATGTGAAGAAACATTAAAATGCTTTTATATTTTTGTGCAGATATCAATTGTAATTTTTATAAAACAAACCTGTGTAGATAGGACACCAAAATGTAATCTCAGAAAGAGCCTGACATGCTTCCTAATCTGCTCCTAAAGACTGATAGCATTTAACATTTCATGTATAAAAGTACAAAAGAGAGAAAAAGAAATACATCTTAGGAAAACCAGAAGTGGTTAAAAATATAGTCACCTACATTTTTAAAATTTTTGCATCAGACTGTTAATAAATCTCTATCACACATGATAAATTAAACATGACATCTGATTTGTTTTTAAATCAGTTTGGGTACTTTGGTAAGGCAGTCTTTTTCCAACATAAAATCATCAACGTTGAATA